CTGGGGGACCGGTGTCTACGGGCTCCCGGCCGGGGCTGGTGCTCTCCACGGGGCCTTCTCCCGACGGCAGCTCGGCCGGCTCATTCCACAGCGTGGGCACGGGCTCCTGTGGAACATCATCTGCAAAGCCAACGGGAGGCGCTGGGGCCCCAGGTGACAGGGCCGACAGGGACGTCACCCCCTACCTCTAGGTTAAGCAAGTTGCAAGTTGCGGGTAGCGCTGTATGAGGGGTCTGGGCTCAGCGCTGCACTAGCCCTGACATTTCCCAGGCTGGGAAGCTGAAGCCAGTGCATTGCTGCCTCCTGTAGGGCAAGGCCAGTGGGTGGGCAGGAGTGTCTGGTCAGTGTAAGGGAGGTGCCCCCCGAAAGCCCTTCTCTGCTCATAGGGTTGGGAGTTGGCAAGATTTGGGGTACCCAGGGACCAGAGAGCAGGAAGGAGACATTCTCAGTCCCGCAGAAAGCACAGGCTGAGACGCCTACATGGTAACCCCCGCCCTGTACCCTCACCAGTCAGCCCACCCCAGTTGTCCTCTCCCACCCATCACCCCAACCCTGGGCCATCCATCCCCCATAACCAGATGGGAGGCCCCAGAAACGCTAGAAAGCTCAAGATGGGGATGGTAGGTCGGCTCTTGGCCTCTCCAACCCAGCCAGACCATCTGACATCACAGTGTTGGCACTGTCTGATTCTCTCTCTCTCTCTCTCTTTTTTTTCTTTGAAACAGTCCTGCTGTGTTGCCCAGGCTGGAGTGAAGTGGTACGTTCTCAGCTCACTGCAGCCTCTGCCTCCCAGGTTCAAGTAATTCTCCTGCCTCAGCCTGCAGAGTATCTGGGACTACAGGCACCTGCCACTATGCCCAGCTAATTTTTGTATTTTTAGTTGAGACAGGGTTTTGCCATGTTGGCCAGGCTGATTTCGAACTCCTGACCTCAGGTGATCCGCCTGCTTCGGCCTCCCAAAGTGCTGTGATTACAGGTGTGAGTCACTGCAGCCGGCCCCATGCCCTAATCTCAACTGGGATAGAGACTGATCCAGGGACATTCGACCCTCAAACAGGTCCCTTGGATGAGCTTGGGGATGTCCTGACACCTCATCTCTTTGACTCCAGCTGCTCTGTGGTGTGGGAACTGCTTTTATCGCCATTTCAGAGACAAGAAAGCCCAGGCTTGGGGATAAGGTGCCGCGACGGTGAGCACAGGTGGGCTGAAGCCCTTGGACAGTTGCAGGAGTGGTTGTGCTGCCCAGAAACAGTGTAGGGAGGTTGCCGTTCTGTGAACAGACCCTGCTGGCCTGCCTGTGACCCTAGGGCACCTTTTGTCCCTGCAGGTTCCATCCCTGAGCGCTGGGGCAAGACTGAAGCCAGACACTTGCTCTCTTGTTAGGCTCACCAGCACCCAGAGAGGGGGATGCTCGAGAGGACACAGAGGTCCTTCCTGGGTTTTCCGGCCAGTTGTGTCCATCTAGGGCAAACCACGCAGAAACATCGGCCAATCCAGACTCAGGGTCAGCCTTAAAGTAAATGGGTCTTCCCAAATGTCAAAGTCAGGAAAAACGAAGAAAGACTGAAAGGTTCCAGATCAGAGACTAAGGAGACAACTCAATGTTCCTGGACGGGGAGGGACAGGCCTGTGATTGGAGACGCTGGGGTCCGTTGGTGAAGTTTGAACAGGGTGTGGCTTAGGACTGCCTCAGTGCTTATTTCCTGGTTTTGATAGCTGACTCTGGTGTGTACGAGAATGTCCTTATTCTCAGGAAGAATTTAGGGGCAAAGGAACATGACTTCTGCAACTTACTCTCTTTTTTTTTTTTTTTTTTTTGAGATGGAGTCTTGCTCTGTCACCCAGGCTGGAGTGCAATGGCCAGATCTCAGCTCACTGCAAGCTCCGCCTCCCGGGTTCACGCCATTCTCCTGCCTCAGCCTCCCGAGTAGCTGGGACTACAGGCGCCTGCCACCTCGCCCGGCTAGTTTTTTGTATTTTTTAGTAGAGACGGGGTTTCACCGTGTTAGCCAGGATGGTCTCGATCTCCTGACCTCATGATCCGCCCGTCTCGGCCTCCCAAAGTGCTGGGATTACAGGCTTGAGCCACCGCGCCCAGCCTCAACTTACTCTCAAATGATTCAGCATTCAGATAGAAAGAGGAGTCAGCAATGTAGCAAAATGTTGGCAGTTGGTGAGACTAGGTGGATGGACTCCTGGAGTTCATTGGATTGTAAAGTTCACATCTTTCCACAATAAAATGTTAGCAGGTGCCTGGCTTCCGGGCCTCTCTCAAGCCTGGAGAGGTCAGTTGCAAGGCTCAGCTCCGAGACTCAGCTTGCTGACCTTTCAACTGACCTGCCACATTCCCCAGGGCTGGCCCAAGGGAGAACCCCTTTCCAGAAAAGAGCTCTGGCAGGAGGCCCCAGGGGTGGAAGGCCCACTGGCCCCCAACTGGGGGAGGCTTCCCTCCCGAGGGGCCCAAGGCTGGACTGCAGCACTGATGTCTGTCCAGCCTCCCACCAACCTTGAAGTCCACCCTGAGAGGAGGGGAAGTGACCCAGCCAGGCCTCCCGTCTCGCAGCCAGAGAGGCAGGGGTCTGCAGCCATGTAGCCCCCATGGAAGGCCTCAGGCCCCTGGCATGCTGCCTCAGGCTTCTGGGGGCTGGGCAGGTAAAAGGCCTGAGTGTGCCCACCGCCTGGCAGGCGCCAGTGTCTAGGCTCGCTGACTGCCTGAACATGTCCAAAGAAATGGCACAAATGACACACCCAAGACAGACTGGCAGGCAGGCACCTCCCTGCATCTGGAGGCCGCGACAGGGCTGCTGGGTACCAGGCCCAGCTGACCCGGGTGGCATCTGTGGGAATCAGCCAAGGAGTGGCAGACCTCCAGCCCCTGCGAAGGCAGGGCTCAGTCCCCGGGCCAGTGCAGCAGGGGTGAGCTGCCACCCTTGAGGGTATCCTCTGAGCAGGGCAGTGGGGAGCCCCACTCAGGCCCTGTCCCTGTCTGTCCCCCATGACCCAGCCTGTCTCTGCTGCCCCCACCACCAGACATACCTGCCCTGGCCTCCTCCCACTGTACACAGCCCCCTCCTGCCCAGCCAGGCCATGAAGCTTCCTAATCAGGAGGGCTGGGGCCTATCCTTGCTCCATCAGGCTCTCACCCTGGACTTCATGCCCCAATCCACCTTCCTGACTTTTGAGATGGGGGTTCAGACTATGCTGTCAAGCATCTTGCACAGGAGGTAACTGTGTGAACACCAGCATCTTCAGCTGCTGCCTCTGGCCTGGGGCACACCTCTGGACGCAAGCCCAGTTGCTATGGGTCTGCAGCCGCTGGCCACCACAGGAATCCCTCACAGGCTGGCCCAGGACCCATCTGTACCCAAGCAGCCAGGGCCCCAGGGGCCACCAGCTCTCTGCCAACCTAGTCTGGTGCCCAAGTGGCAGACACATGGGCTCGAAATGACAGCCTGCACTCAGTCACTGACCCACCAGGAAAAGGGGTGCCACAGCCATGGAGGAGCCCAGGCACTTCTTATCCTCATCTGTGTTTCTAGAATTTGCTCCAGTAAGAAGGGAAAGCAAAGCTGAAAGGCAGTTCCCATCTTCCCCCAAATCCATCCTCTGGGAAGCTGGGAGCAGGGCAGTTTCCCAGCAGGAGTCCTGTCCGGGGAAGGCGGAGATGGGGCAGGAGCGAAGGTGTGGAGGACGGAACTCATGGCATGCCAGGCAGGCAGTGAATAGGCCAGGGTGACAGAAAGTGAGGGTGGCAAAGAGGTGGGGGCACCAAGGACCCCAGGAAAGTTCTATCTGCCCTGGCGGTACCGAGGCCCAGAATCCATTGACCAGAATTAGCCATGTGGTGTGACTACGCGCTCTGACCCAGGAAAGCGGGGGCTGGTGGCACTGCCACAGGCCTGGGCACCACGGGCTCTCTCCCAGCCCCACTGGCCCCAGCCGCCCTGCCTTTTGGTAAATAAGTTTGTTTGACCACAGGGCCCTGAGGCCAGGCGCCTGTGCTCACAGACACCCTTTGTGTGGGCCATGAAGGGCCTTTTCATCCCTGCCCTGGCCTCCTGCCCACTCAGCCTAGCCCGCTACCACCTCAGTGGCTGAGGCCACAGGCTCCCAACAGGGAGGGCCTGGGCCTCAGATGGGGCCTGGGCCTCAGCCCGCAAGGCCGCCCCTTCCCTTCCTGTCTGTTACAGGACCCCAGCCCACAGAGCAGAGGGCCGTGTACACACCTGCCCAGAGTTCCCAGCCCAGGGGTGGGGTGCTAAGAGCCTCCCAAACGCTCTTCCCCCCAGAATGGCAAGAACAACAGCCAGAACCCCAGAGACTCAGGGGCTGGGATGTCATGGTCTGGCCCCTGTGGGGAGCCGCCTGCTCTTGGTAGAACACATGGAGGGAAGTGGGGCAGTGAGGCCAGGTGAGGTCCTGGCTGTCCCCAAGGCATCCTATGGTGGCAGAGGAAGCCCATCCGCCCACATTGATTAGGGACAGTCTGGCCCAGGCACTCTGGCCGGCAGCCTGGGCCGGGAGGGTCAGCCACACAGGAGCAGGAACCTGGGCAGGAGCCACAGGCAACCCGGGAGCCAGGGCCTCCCCTTCCGCCCACGTGGACCACCAGGCTGGAGAAGCAGCTTCATCCCGGTGAGGGGGCTGCAAAGATCACAGCCCCAGGATCCAAGCCATAGAAGATGCCACCTTCCCCTTTAGGTCCCTTCCCCCAACTCCTGAAGACACCGCATGGCTCGCTTAGGCTGGCGCCTCTTCCACCACGAGGGAGGCTGGCGCCCTCCCAGCCTGCGGGAGGACGGAGAGTTCTGCTGAAACCACCCGGCGCCAGGGAGGGGCTCAGACCACGGAATCCGCATTCCCCTGATGCTCACTGAGCGCTAACTGGATGTGGGGCCCGTCCCAAAAGCTCCGCACATCTGAACTCACGAGGCCTCACAGCCCCCTGCAAGTGAGGCAAAGTGTGGTGGTGTCATCATCCTACAGATGAGAAGGCACAGAGAGGTTAAGGAACCGCCCGGCCAAGACTGAGCACACCCTGGCCTCGAGCTTCTTCCTGGGAATCCAGGGAGAAGCCAATAATCCCCGGGGCTCCTCGCTGTCACCCAGACCTCCCAGGGTGTGGCCGAGGGGGCCTCCCCAGGGCTGTCGTCCCCCAGAAGCTCTCCCCAGGCCATGCTCTCACGCTTACAGTCCACCTTTCTCACAGATCCACGGGCACGCTCCAGAAGGCCCAGGGTGCAGGGTCCCTGAAACCCGCTACTGTGACACAGAAGCCGGCTGCCCTTTGGTCCAACTCCTGGCTAACAGGAGCAAAGACCACCTGTAACCCGTCAGTGTCCTTTGTCTCTCAGGCTCTGAAGCCAGCCTGGGCCAGTCTTCCTCTCCCCACAGGGCCCTTGGGAGCCTGCCGGAGGCCTCCCTTTCGTGGGACCCCAGACTTGGCCACTTCGATCTCAGTCCAGAGGTCCACACCGTTTTGCAGAGGGATCTTGGGCCTTGTATTCTCTCTCCCTCTCTCTGGAGCCTTTCCCAAGATGGGGACAGTACCTGGGTCCTCATTCTCTAAGGACATCGCAGAAACCGGCAGGGAAGCTTTTGAAAGTGATCAGCAAGGTTCTGCACTCCTCTGGCCCCTCAGCCACTTGTCATGTGCCTGGTACCCCCGGCTGCCTCCCTGACCTGGGAGACTTCAGATTTTAAAGTGCTAGAGCAATTCCCATGTCCCCCCAACAGCAGAACATCCCTGGGCCTGCCCCACAAGTCGTCCTCCTTCTTCAGAGGCCATTATCCCTGCTGCTAACCATTTCCTGAGACATGCATCCCACACAGCTGCTGCCAGCCGGCCTCACAAGAGCTCTTCACAGAATCGCCCCAAACAGTCGCCCCATCTCCTGTGAGGGGCTTCCTCCCCAGTGAACGCTGAAGAATCTGGCCCCAAGGTAGTTATCGGCCCTGGGAGGCTAGTGGTGGCAGAGACAAGGGCCTTCACCCCTTACCTGTGAGCACCGCAGGGACCAGAACCCCGGAGACCAGCAGCAGCGCCATGCGCAGGGCCAGACAGGACGCCATCCTGGCCGGGAGTGAGAGCAGCGGCGAGCGGGACGCAGGGAGGACTGCGCTGGTTAACTTCAGGGCAGTGAGAAAGAGGCATCAAAGGGCTGGGAAGGGTTTTCATCAATGCAAACTCTGTCCTCCTGGGACACCGTGCCCGCCCCCCCCACCCCCACACACACAGCAAGAGCTTACAGAACAGACCTGCTTTCCTGAACCTGGGAGCAGCCCTACTCTTGGAGAGGGAAAGAGGAAATTGCCTGTGCTCTCTCTCTCTCTCTCCATCCCCCAGCACACACGCGCCTCCCACACTTACTCCTGGACCACTGAAAGTGAAAGGTTTTCAGGCTTTCTTGTGCAAAAGAATCACCCAGGGAACTTGAAACATGCAACTGCCTCTGGCCACAGTGTTTCAGTGGGGCTTGGGTAGGCCAGGGAATCTGCATGTTAGTGCCTGTGGCCTGGGCTTGGGGAAATCTGGCCTGAAGCAGGCAGCACTGAGTGCAGGATGGACTCGTTCACCTCTGGGTTCTCCATGCCTGGCCCAGAGTAGGTGCTCAGTGCTTGTTGAAGAAGGACTTTTAAAGCAGTTTTGATCCAAACCCTCAGGCAGCTCTAGTCTTTCCTAAAACACTCCTGTCTCCTCTTTTGCTGTCTGCTCCCCTAGACCCCTGTGCACTTACAACATCCATTTCCAGGCTGGGCCTGGCTCAGAACACAGCCCCACTGCCCACTGCTCCTCAACAGCTCCCCGGGGTATCTGACGAGCGGCTACAACTTACAGTGTCCAAAGCAAACCTTGACTCCACTGCCCCTTCCCTCACTCAGTCAATGGAATCCCAGTCTCCCTGCTCCCAGATGTTCTAGCCACACAATGAAGTCATCAGAGGTCTCTTTCCCTCACTTCCCACGTCCCAGCCCTCAGAGTTCTGCCAGCTCCCCCTACTTCACACCTTGATGGTTTCCCACTGCGCTTAGGTCTTGCCTCAGCCCTGCTCAGCTCCCCACCCACGAGTTCTATGTTTCAGTCCACTGGCCGTGACTGGGCTCCCCCAACAAACCCCCCGATCCTGCCTCAGGGCCTTTGCATGTTCCCCTCTCCCTCTCCCAGAAGGCAGTCCCTGTGGTCATTATGTGGCCACCCCTTCCATTCCAGCCTCAGCTTGCTAAGTCAACCCCTTGATCCCACCATCACTTCACTTTTAATTTCTTTTTAGCGTGCATATTTATATGAAATTACATTGTACTTTTTTGTTAATTTTTTGAGGAGCAACACGTATTCTGTGAAGCACACAAATTTTTTTTTTTTTTTTTTTTT